ACCCGCAGTACACACACACACACACACACACACCTCACTGACTGCAATGAGAATGATGATGATAATGGGACTTCCAGACCTGGACATTAGAGCTGGCTAACTTCTCAAATGTGACGCACTGCCACCAGAGATTTATAATGCCTTGACGTCAGCATTCCTCATACACTTCCCGTTAAGAAAGGTGAGCCTGCGTGAGTGTGTGTATGAAACAATACCATTTACAGTGCTGTCCCAGCAATGTGAAGCCTAGTTGATACTGATTTACGTCTTCAAGCCGTGTTTTATTTTCAAGTACTTTCAGGCCTTAAGAAAGTAGCCCTGGCCCATGGTTTGTTATGGCAATAATGTGAAACATCTGATCATTTTATGAATGCTTGCATGTACATAATCATGTAAATGAAAGTGATTGTGCCTGCTACTGGATGCATTGTGAAAGCGGCATGGCTTGTTTGATGGGGATATTGATGCACTGTGCCTGTTGTAACACAGGCAGCAGGAGGACTGGGATCCATAGGAATTTCTCCATTCCTAACCCATAATCAAGCACAATGGATTTGAAACAGGAAAGAAATGTGTGGTTTTCATTGTGTTTTAAACTTTATCTAAAGTCTTAAGACCAATAATTCTTGATTAACTAGCATATAAAAATGAGATATTCTACATGTCTGGTTGGCAAGAAACAGTGAATATATTCCAAGTTGATTCCATTAGTTGCTGCTGTGGTCGTTTTCTTTGCTTTCTATGCCTGTGAGTGAAAATTGCTTAAAGATTCTGCAATAAAAGGGAAAACTCAGATGACTTACAGAGCTGAATTTTCTTAAATATCAAAGTAGTAAGAAAAGTATAGAAAGCAGTGCAGTCTGAGTCACCCAAGTTTATACACGAGGTTAGTGTGTAGAAATCACTGTTGCTGTTGAAGTTTCTATAAAGTTTGAACATGTTCAAAACAAAGTTAGAGTGTGGGTGCACCCACAGTGCCCCCACGGCATGTTTGCTAGGAAGGAACACACACATTTTCATGAACAATAAAATGCATAACAGCCCACCCTGACAAGTCTTTCCATTCTATTTTGGTCAAAAGAGGTGTGTGTGTGTGTGTGTGTGTGTGTGTGTGTGTGTGTGTGTGTGTGTGAGTGTGTGTGTCTGGGCATGTCTTAGTCCACACTGAGAGGTGCTCAGGTTGGCTGCTGTTTTGACAAGCACATCTTGAATACTTACCTTTTATCAAGTAAAGGGGGAAACACCCAGACTCAAAACAGCCAAACCACAGACACACACACACATGTATACACACACACACATGTACGCACACACACACATGTATACACACACACACATGGATGACCTTGCTCAGAGAGAGTTAGACCACTTTCCTTAACTCTTAGCCCTCTGATACTGCTGAAGCAACACTGCAGAGGTGGGACCAAGTCATTGTTTTGCAAGTCTCAAGTAAGTCTCA